ACTTAAATATAAGGGTTAATTTTATGCTACAATTTATATTTACAGTTTTTGATATATTCGTAAATCGATTTTAATATATTGATATCTCTAGAGAAAATCAAACTGTTCAGGTAGACGGGAAGTGGAATTTTTAATATAATAAGATTATCATAAAATTTGCTTATGTTTACTGATTCGTGGGAACATTCAAGGAAAATATGTAATAGGTTACCTTCTTTTCCGCAGTTGCAATTAGGTGACTCCGCGAGACCCAACTTGTACATATGAAGGGGGGTAAGAGCATGATTAGATCTTAATCTGTTTATAACCCTTATGAAATGGCGATATGATAGAGTATGAAACCATCTTTTTATGGGTATTTCAGGCTGCATTTGTTTGTAATTATTTCCAGTTCTTGTGTTTCGATAATATGTTTACCATTTTTCTTTTTGATGCCGTTTACTAATTAGATCAATGTCTGAAAAGGGGAGTAAGTTCAAGGGAGCTTCTCCGCCTATGTCTAGGACAGATTTGGCTAGGCTATCTGCTATTTCGTTGCCCTTATTATCCATGATATAATAATGTTTTTCATTAAATTTGTAATTTTATTGTAAATAGTCATAATTTCTAGTTCTATATGATTTAGTTGTTTGGACCTATGTACGTTTGTTAGTCTGTCGACGACACTCTTACTGCCTGTAAATATTATGCAGCTGTAGGGTTCGTTACTATGTACACTACGACTGATATAGGAGTAGACGTCGCGCGCTAGCAGATTTCAAATATTGTACCGAGAGCTCAGTTGATCGAGAACCGCTTAGCTGTATACAAGCTGTATACAAGTGTATACAGTTGTATACAGCTAAGCGGTTCTCGATCAACTGAGCTCTCGGTACAATATTTGAAATCTGCTAGCGCGCGACGTCTACTCCTATATCAGTCGTAGTGTATATGCCTTAATGCAAGAAGAATCGCTGTCATTTCAGCAGTGTATATCGATGACTCAGCTGGCAATTTCAATAATTTTTTAAATCCACTTTGAATATTAATTAATGCACATCCTACTTTGTTTTGTACTTTAGATCCGTCTGTAAAGTAAAACTGATAATTTGGCCATTTATGCCGTGTAAATGATTGAAAAGGGACTGGATCTAAATTACTCTCCACAAAAAGGGTATTAATATGTTTTGAGAAAAGCTCTTCTAATATATGGGAATACATAGGTGAAACTTGATTTTCATACGAATAGAAAGTATGTCGGTATTGAGATATCCTCAAGTAACTATTTACCAGAAGAGAACATTTTTTCTTTGTCCAATATTTATGAGTTAGATCTAAAATTGATAAAATATGAATATCCTGTAGATAGTTAGTATTTTTCCCTATGGCTCTAGTAATGAATTTATCACTTAAAAGCTCCCGTCGAAATTTCAGAGATGGTTCTATCGCCTCAACTTCCATTATATTAACAGGTGTAGAATTCAAATATCCAAGATAAAGCCGAAGGCATGTATTTTTTTGTATTTCTAATTTATTTAAATGTGTGTTTGCGGCAGTTCCATACAAATGACAACTGTAATCGAAAATGGGACGAATCATAGTACGGTAAAATAAAATAGCTACATTAGTGTACAATGTCCTCAGAAAGCTAGCTATGGTGATGGGGAAGCCGATGTCTAATAGCTTTTTATGCATAATGTCCAAGTTAACGGTATCGAATGCAGACATCAAGAAAAGCAGCCATAGTATACATATTATCAGTAAAGTTTATTAGTATGGATGAGACTAAGGCAGTTATGGCATCTTGGGTTGATTTTGATTTTCGAAATCCATACTGAGATTTTAGGAGGATATGTTCTTGCGCTAACAAATGTTCAATTCTATTTTTTATTAATCTTTCTAACGTCTTTAGGAAGCAAGAGGCTAAGGATATTGGTCTATATGATCTACTGCAATTTTCTGGTTTTCCAGGTTTTTTAATAGGTATTAGAATATATTCCTTCCAGCTGTCTGGAATTTGTGACGTGTCATTCCAAATGTCATTAAAAATATTTAATAATGATATTTTATAGTGGTAAGGAATATGGTATATCATGGAGTATGAAATATTGTCTTTACCTGGAGCACTGCTATTTTGTTGACTAAGTGCTCGCTCTAACTCCCACATTTTAAATGGTTCTTTTAAGCCAATCCTATCTCTTGACACTGTTTCGCTGTATTCTGGAAAATGTTATGAAGGTACCAACTGAGGAGATACTTTCTTATGAAATTCATCTAGCCAGCTGGATTCTGGATCTATTGGAATCTTGTTGGACTGTTTGCGGTTTTTAAAAGCGTTTACTTTCTTCCATACTTCACTGATTTGTGTTTTTGAATTTAGGCTTTCGCAGTATTCTACCCAATTCTGTTTTTTCTTTTGTTTGAAGAGTTTTTTTGCGACAGCGTCAAGTCTCTTAAATTCAACTAAATTATTTCTTGTAGAATCTTGTTTACATTTTCTATATACAATTCTTCGGTTATCAGCGGCGGTTTTGAAACTTTCACACCACCATTGGTTCGAAATTCGTCTCTTATGTATTCCGTTAGATGAAAACTTTGGTATTGCTAAATTGGCTGCTTTATTAATGTTTGCTATTAGAGTTTGATAGTTTCCAGGAGAATTTTCAGCTTCTAGTACAGATGTGTATAATTTCCAATCGGCCTTGTTAAGATTCCAGATCTTGTGACAGTTTTGAGCTGGAAATGAAGTTATATGATCTGTTTCCACGTTAATGATAATTGGAAGATGATTGGATCCATGAAGGTCCTGTAGGACTCTCCAAGTAAAAAATTTTGAAATATCTTGTGTACAAAAGGTTAAGTCAATAGCGGATGGACTCTTACTAGTTGCTAATGTGGGCGATCCATCATTCATACATATTAAATTACAATGATCAATACATTCTAAAAGTTTTTTATCATAGCTGTCTTCAATTTCACAGCCCCATGCGATACTGTGGGAATTAAATTTCCCACCCTGTGTATTTCTTTTCTTGAAATTTCAATGGGATCAGGGCTGGTTGACCTGTGCCTTTTGTTTGGGTTTGAAGTTGTAGGGGAAGAAAACATATTTAGTAAAATTGTTATTATAGGATTTGGGTTGTAAATTGTGGGACTGTGAGTACTCAGGTTGAGAGGAATGATACTGTATTGTACTAGAAGGGGTAGGTCCAGATTGAAGCCGTTGGGAATAATTTGTCGAGGATATTTGACCACTTTCCATGGCAGAGGTATTATGAGCGACTATGTTTGCGTATGTATTTTTTGGGACCTGTTTATTTGCATCAAAGAAATTAATATTGCAAGAGCTCATGGTTTCCTTTACCATTTTTTGTCTTTTAAACTCTGGACAAGCAGACAAATTAGTAGTAAGATGATTTCCTTGACAGTTAAAGCATCGTGGTATGTAATCTGAATTATTACAATCTTGTGTGGTATGGGACTCCTGACATTTGCAGCATCTTGGTTTACTTCTACACTGACCTCCTAGGTGACCAAAACGGAGGCAGTTATAACATAATAATACTTTCTGGCTATACGGCTCTACTTCCTTGATAACTTTATTAATAGAAATATATTTTGGTAAGATTTGTGATTTGAAAATAACAATGCAAGACTTTGTGGGTACATATTCTACTATTTTACCTTCATCCGTAATTTTTTCTACTTTACGTTTTATTCTTTTGACATTAGATACTTCAAAAGTGCAATGTTGATCAAATTGTCTTATTTTATCTTTTATGTACGCCTCTGAAAAATCTTTTTCTATATCTCTAATAACACCTTGTCTATAAAGAATGAATTTTGGGATATACACTACACAGTTATTTTTAACAAAAATATTTTCGTTTTTATTATTTATTAGAAAATTTGCTGATTTATAATCCTTTAACTTGATCCGAAACCTATTCCGACCTATAGAATCAATACTAATAATTTTATTGTCTATCTCCGGAAAGTTAGAAAGAATTATATCTTCGATTTTAAGTGCATTTAATTTACCTTTATATTCGACAGAATTATTCTCAACATAAATATGATACGGGCCTAAATCAGTACTTACATACAAAAACTCCTCTCTTTCTTTCGGTGTGTTATCAATGTTCATTGTTGTTGTTTGTATATCGTTTTTTGATGAGGTTGGATTTATTAATAAATCACATTCACCAAAAACTATATTTTTTTAACGTATATCTGGTGGCGCTGGGTCGTCTGGGGGTTTCCCCCCGACTAACTGGTCCATTTAATTGTTCTTAACTTACAATCTAATTTTATTTTTACACCAAATTTGAATATTTATAAAACACAATTTTTAAACGAATACAGTTTAATTTCGTTTCGCTTTGTCGATAGGCACGTCCGATTCGTAGGTGAACTAGAACACGACTGTCCCTTTTACTTAATTTTCCCAAAAATGCTTGTTCAAAATAAAGGATTAAATAAACCTTACATGAGCATGTCAAATCAAAAATGTCACCTCATTTATTAAATTATTTATTATTATTATTTAAATTATCTATTTGGTCGATAGAAAAATGACAGACAGTATTTTCAGATCAGCAATTTGGTTACAGCACATTATTTTTACTTTCTGGTCTATTTTTAGTGAGATAAGATAAATGTAAATATTTTAAATACATTGAGGTAAGTGATACTAGAATTAGCGTAAAATAATATAAATTCTAAGCTTTCATATAAAAATGTAGAATTGCATATAATTAAAATTAAATAAATCCATTGGGGTTAAGTACTCAACTTAAGTTATTATTAGGTACATTTAATTAGCCTAGATAGGTATATCAGCAATAAAACAAATTACATTTTTATTTAATTACGAGTTCAACGTTTCTTTTAAAATAATAAATACACGAGTTTTAAAATACATTTTTTTTATTTATGTATATCAACAGATAAATATTTAATTTACAATGTAATATAAATACAAGCAACATGTCCAACAAGATAAAAATCAAGACTTCAGAATGCAACAACTATTGTTGATACTTATTGCTCTACTGTGTCAAGACACTTTAGGTCAACTTTGTGGTAAGTAACAAAAACATCTTGAATATAAAAAATTGGTTAATATTATTTGCAACGAATCATTTTATCAGCTTCAAACATACATACATTTTCTCGCGATTATATTTACAATTTTTAAAAAAGTATAGATAAAAGGAACAAACATTTCGTTTTTTAATTTCTTGACTAAAATTTATTGACGTAAATTTTAAAGAAGATTAATGCGGATAAAGTATTAATGCATGTTTGTACATATTAAAACAATTACTACTTTTTTTGGAATAAGCCACAATTTAAATTTAAAATTTATTTAATAAATATTTAAATAAATAAAATTTATTTTTGATGTTTATTAATGTTTTTTATTTTGAGAACGCTTTCCGTAGTGGAACCGTCAAAAATAAACTTATTTTAAACTTAAATAATGACTTATTCCAAAAAAATAGTAATTGCATTACGATGCCACAAGAAAATTGCTTCAGAATAGTAGTTCACGTGGTGCTTCGATTATACTATTTTCATGGCGGCACACGTCGCTATTCGTTGTATCACTTGTATCCGTCAAAATATTTGTAATTCTACAGCGAGTAACAAATATGCTACTCTACACTTGTGCCGGTGGGCCAAACATGCCAAGTATTTTATTCATTCGTGTTTCGCAGAATCAAAAGAGACGTGGACGTATTGACGGTAGCTGCAACTTATTTTGACTAAAATCCAGAAATCTCATTACCTTTTTATTTGTCCACTCCATTTCACAGTATAGAATATCGTGTTTTAATAACTTAAGAACTTGAGGGAATGGTTTAAATGCAGTAGCGCAGAAATATTTAGAGCGGAAGTCAACAGGGTCCGCATTAGCCATGATGATTTCCAACCTTCGATAGAAGATGGAACTTATAGAAGAAGACACTACAAATCAAAGCATAATAAGTGCGATAGTTGTATATAGACATATAAATTTGTGGAATTAATGGTTTAAGAATAACGAGGATTACAATAGAGTTGGGTTAAGATAAACAGCGAGACAACCACCGTGCGAACGAAGTGTGAGCAGTCGACACATACATTACGCTTATTTGTGTCCTTTAAAGTGCGACAAAAAAAAAACAACAAGTGAACGGATATACGTATTTGCTATTCAAGTATTTGCTTATGAGTGTAAATAAAGGAAATAATTGACGAATGTACTCTCCACACTTCGTCTTATGTGGCCAAATATGGCGCATATCCAATAACATATAGCGAAGCTTTATAGCTTCGCTATATATATATATATATATATATATATATATATATATATATATATATATACATATATATATACATATATATATACATATATACAGAGAGAGAGGGGGGGGGGAGAGGAAGAGGGAGAGAGTACGAGCGTTAATTAAATTTAAAATATATTCTTTATTATTTTAAATATCATAAAAACCTACAAGTTGTTTTGTTAATATAAACCCTCTTCATTTTTTTCTTTTATTCTATGATCATTACTTTTTGTAGTGAACTAAGGGTGCTTTTAAAAAAAATTATAAAACCGATGTTAACAGGTTCAAGTGAGCTCCCGGGTCAAGCGGATACCGATACACGGAGCTCACTTGACCATTCCACAATATTGATTCTGTCGATTCGTCAACATGTATAGTTTCATAATTTTTAAAAAAGTTGTGGAACTCATAAATACCTGTGTATCATAATAGTATATTACATAACGAGAGTTGTAAGAAGCTTATTACATGCGAGTAAAAAAGTTGCGCGCGAGCCGTGTAGCGGCGAGCGCAGTAATTTTACAAGCATGTAATAAGCTTACAACTCAAGATGTGTACTATACTTTTTCTACCATTATTTTTGATAATAAAAATAAAAATTAAATTACCACTATATTTACACTGACAGATTAATAATTTTTAACCTGTCAAAACAACGCCTGTTAATTCGTTTCCATGGTAACTCGACCAACTGACTTACAAGGCGTATGTGATATTACACATTTTTATAGAACTGAAGCGTAATTTTTTTTATTACGTGCTAGTCATTACGTGTCAGTATCTGTTATGATGCATTTACTTAGCTTCCAAATAGTAGGTAATATACAATTTACTAGTAAGAGAGTAGAAAAATGTATATTACATTTCAACGTACAGTTCAGGTGTATATATTATAGGGATCGAAAAGATCTTTTTCACTGTATATTGGAAGTATAAGTATATCGGTTAAAGTAAGCTCTGATAGTTTGGCAACTCTGCAATTATGCCCTATAATTCCAACATATATTCTGAAAAATTGATATGGGCTCCGTATTTTTGTTATCATTCATACGCATCACAGTGTGTAACAGATATCTATCCTACAAACTACCTGTTGTTCGTAGGTACGTGCTTCTCCAAAAAAAGGTATTCTTCTTCTTCTTCTTTGGGTGCCATCTTCTTAGCGAAGGTTGGCGATGACCTCTGCAAAGTCTTCTCTATTTTGGGATTTCCTTATTAAACTTTGAAAGTCTAATCCTGTCCAATCTTTGATGTTGCGCAGCCACGTCATTTGTCGTCTACACGGGCCGCGTCTGCCTTCTATTTTCCCTTCTATAATAAGCTGAAAGAAGTTATACCTGTCGCGTCTAAATATGTGTCCAAGATAACACGTTTTACGCTTCTTGACAATTTCTGTGAGATCACGTTCTCTATTCATACGCCTTTAAACTTCTTCATTTCTAACGCGGTCGGTCCATGGAATTTTCAGCATACGACGACATACGGTCAATTGGGTGCAGGAGATCGTGTTCTGTGCAATCTGTGTCTAGCATAGGACAACTAAGAAGGTGTGATGAATCTTGTAGCCCACCAAATTCACACCGGTTAACAGGTGTTTGCAGGCAAGAGTCCTCCTAGCAGATTTAAGGAAGACCAGAAGGAAGTTCCTCTCGAGGGTTCAGATGGCGAACAGCAGCTTATTTTTTTTGCATGACGAGTTTTTTGGTATATCATACAGATGTGTTTATCTGGCCAGTTTTCCTCGATTTTAGTCATAAAATGAGCTGGTATATGGAGTTTATATATATTACGAATATTAGCTGGTATATATTACGAATCCAGACTTTGTTCCTTTCGTTTCTAGCTACTTATCTTCGGACATTAGGTGGATTGATAGATACGATATTGGAGAGTTTATGTATGGATGTAAGTCTTAATATTCGCTGAATTTGGCTGACTAATTTATAGCGAAATTTAGATGTCAAGTATGTATTGGTGTCACCTATACTGACAAGGTATATTCGGCAGCATATAGCATAGAGCGCAAGAGTCTACGTTTTAAGGGTGGAAGGATGTGCTTCCCATTTTTAGCTGACAAGTTTGCGGATAATATTATTTCTGGTCTTCAGTTTGCCTTTTAGTTTTAAACAAAGTTATTTGAATGACAAAGTGTGATACAAACTATCTTCATGGTATTTATAGCAAGTCCAGAGTTTAAAGATTTCATGATACGGATGTTCAGATGTTTTTCCGGGGTTTGGCTTAAAATTGATTCATATCCTATTTTTATTGTGTTTAAGGCATGATTTAGATTTTTCTCCATTTCAGCAACAAAACACTATTTGTACCTGACTTATGTGATATACTTTATATCAGTCCTAACTGAAAAATACGTCTACTTCTTGAAGAAACAACATTTTTACTCATTTTAATAATACAAAATTAACAATGAAATATTACTTAAAACACTATGTAAACATAACCTCAACTCTCAATAAGAACAATAAACTCACTAGGACGGCAGTAACTTGAAACAGCTGAAAACCAGCGCCAAACAAATCGAGGGTATCTACATCAAGTTAAGGATAAAAGCAGTAACTGCAAGCAGATAGGATAGGATAGCAAGAAATGCTTGGTGCACTGTAGCTGCTGCTCTTTTGTTTAGGAATAGTTAGTTTTACCTTATACTTACTGCTTACGATATATGCTATATCTCAATACCCATTGCAGATACTGCTTTTCTACTTACTTCAGTAGATTCAGCATAATTTAAGACAATACGTAGACATGAACTCAATAGTGAATATTTTGCAGATACTGCCCCTTTTCTTAGCAGGGCAGTACTTACGTCAGACTTAACTTTAGTTTAATAGTACTTTGATTTAACAGGTGAGTGTGGCCCATTGGAAGTGTTTAAGGAATGTGCGTCACCTTGTGTTCCGGAGCGAACATGTCAATATCAATTTCCCGTTGAACCAAATGTATGTATACTTTCATGTGAACAAAGATGTGAATGTGATCAAAATAAGGGATTGATAAGAGATAAACAATCTGGCGAATGTATTGACATTGGAAAATGCGAAGGTAAGTTTTCTAAACCTTTTATTGTTTGACTTGAGCATTACACTATCTGCGAATCCGCAGCTTCTGATCATATCATCTACTATTAACTTACAGAAGAATTACTGGGTTCAACTAACGAAACTTACACTCACAAGCGTAGAGAGTATAGTCAGAATCCAAAGCGACTTTTCAAGACCCTTCCATTGTAAAAATGGACTGAGACAGGAAGATGGACTGTCGTGTCTCTTATTTAACCTTGCACTAGAAAAAGTAATTCGAGAGTGCCATATTAATGGAACTAGAAGGTGTGGACACCTTCATCTACCTGGGCTCGCTGCTGACCAAAGACAACAATGTCAGCGACAAAATTAAAAGAAGAATAGTGCTTGCCAATAAGTGCTATTATGGCTTGAGGAAACAGATCTCAGAACCCAAAACTACCCAGAAAAATTAAAACTACCATATATAAAACACTAATAAGGCCAGTGTTAAAAAAATAAAAAATTCAGTAGATCTATTCTAAGGGCGAGCGCCCACCAAAGTGGCGTGGCAGTGGCAAGTAGCAAGTAGCACGCGTCTAGCATAATGTAACCAATCCTAACGAATGATTAGAATGAATGACGTTACTGTCATTTTGGTGTAAATTAAATCATTCGTTTTCATTGGTTACATTATGCTAGACGCGTGCTACTTGCTACTTGCCACTGCCACGCCACTTTGGTGGGCGCTCGCCCTAAGGAAAATATATGGAGGAGTCCAAGAACAGGGTTTGTGGCGTAGGCGCTACAACTTTGAATTATACAGAAGTTTTGGGGAACCTGACGTTGTAAAATTTATTAAATTAGCACGCCTTCGATGGGTAGGACATGTAATTAGGCGAGATGAAGATGCAACGATCAGAAAAATATTCGACCGAAGAGGTCCAGAGGGAAGACAATCCAGAGGAAGACCAAAACTTAGGTATCAAGATAACATAAAGGATGATCTAAAATCCATCGGAGTTAAAGCGTGAAGAAGAGTTGCCAGAGACAGGCGCGAATGGAAGATTGTTCTGAAGAAGGCTTTGGCTCATAAGGAGCTGTAATGCCACTGATGATGACGATCTGTTATATTTATTTTAGAAATACATCTATTACATTTAATCATATTGAAAATTATATAGAAAAATATATCAGAATTATTACATTAATCCATAGTGTTCTTAGCATATATTCGTACCGAGTAGTAGTAGTCTATTAGTTATCAAAATATAATTATTACACTAATATTATTAATATTAAACTTACTGTATTACTTAACAACCTACTCTAATCCAAACTAAGTATACAAAAAATTTTAAAATTTTATTTGTAGACAGATGCAGTCGAAATCAATTTTATGGATGTAGACCATGTTGCCCAGAACCAACTTGTGACAATCCCAAACATCTTCCGTGTACAAGACCATGTCCTCGTATATGTATAAACGAATGCTTGTGTAAGGAAGGATACGTACGAAACACAAGAAGCGGAGAATGTGTCTTGCCAAGACAGTGCCCAAGACCTGTGGGATAATCTCAAACTTGAAAAGATAGAAGCTAAAAATGTGTAATCGTTCCTTAATTAAAAAATAAATGTCAATAAAGAGAAACTATGTAACCGCTTAAATATTATACGTAAGTTCCAATTAAATTCAACATTGGTCACTGCATAATTTTTTTGTTAAGAACTGCATCTACTCTTAATCGTTCTTAGAAAAATATATGACAAGTAATAACAAACAAATGTACGTTAAAACCAATACAGTTTGAATCGAGTTAAATAAACTTTAGAGTCATGGAAATGAAGAAATATGGATCTATAACCTATAGAGTTCTTTATTAGGACCGACAAAATTTTCAATTTCTAAATAAACTGAGCTGACACCGTGCTTCGGAGGGCACGTAAAGCCGTCGGTCCCGGCTGCGAAAGTAGTCGTTAAGTCATGTTAGGGGCGCTTGTGCGACCTGAAAACCCTAACACTACCTTAGTCAGAAGGTTACCCGAACTTTACTTTTTTAGCGTTCTATATAAGTTACATTTTTGTAATTAATACAGGGCTATCAAAAAAAATATATTTGAAGTTAAAATTAACTTAAATTTACAATTAAATGCATTTCCCTGCCAGTTTTCAACTAATAGTATGACATATATGAAAACAAGTTCAGTTAGACAACATAACAAGTTACACAAAAAACTATATGATATAGGATTACCTATATATATATATATATATATATATATATATATATATATATATATATATATATATATATATATATATTAAAGATCATATTATATATATTAAAGATTATTTAAACCAACTACACGGTCCTAGAATTGCTCATACAGGTCTTCCACAAGGATCAGTTTTAAGTCCGTTATTTTTCAACATATTTTCAACAAGTATTCGTGTCATTTTTGACAACACAATCAATTGCATCCAATACGCTGATGACATATGCATCTATACAGAGCGTAACTCATATACTGACTGCCTGAAGGCTCTGGAATTCATCATCAAAACGTTAATAACTGGGTAAGAAATAATGCACCATTTTCCATGACAAATCAGCCATGATATTCACTAGACATAGGATTCGTACGCCTGCCAAAATAAAGTTGTCTGGATATAATATACCTATTGTCAAAAAATACAAATATCTTGGCATTCTTGTTGATCCGAAACTTTTAGGGTCAAAACATGTTGAATATATAAAAACTAGGTGTGAAAAAGGTATTAATATTCTTAAATGTGTCACTAATCGTAGATGGGGTGCTAACCCTAAAGTTGCACAGAGCCTACGGGCGATCTATTGTAGACTATGGTTGTATTCTGTGGTGCCGCCATAACACACACTTATTAACTGTAGTCTACTCCTTGCCTTGTACTACTTGCTGAAAATAATGAAATGCCTCTTCAAAATCGTCGAGAAATTATGGCAATTAAACATATCCTGAAGCTAAGATTAAATAATAATAATCTACTTAGACAACTGTATGAGTTATCTATTGAAAACCTCTCAAATAAATACTGGTACATAAAAAATTCTCCTCCACTTGCTGATGCTTTCTTAAAAATTAAAGAGTATTCTAATATCTATGGGAAGAAAAAAGATTACCAATATCTAGAGCTAATTTTCAGGTAACAATAAATAAACCAAAAGTCATAATACCAAAGTAGACAGAATCCCCACAAATAAACTTTGTCTTACTTAAATCCATATTGAGTGAATATAATGATCACGTAATAATGTATACCGATGGACCCAAAAAAGAGGATGGTGCCACAGGTTGTGCAGTTTACATTCCGCATAAAAGCGAATCTTTGAAAATTAAACTTCCACCACATTTGGAGGACTTACAACAACATTATTATAACAAAATTTTCATAAATTGGAAAGAAAAATGATAAAACATAGCAACGAATTCAAATAATCAATATTATACTATCCACCCTACCGTACCACAAGATGTTGCCTATATTTTCAAATACGCAATGCCAAAGACAGCCACAATTACACGACTGAAAACTAATCACGGTGCATTCCCAGCTCACTTGGCTAAGTTAAATAATATTCCTTCTGGGGTATGCTCATGCGATAATATATCACAATGTGACATCAACCATATTCTTTTTAAGTGCGATAAACATAAGTATGAAACAGATCAACTGTATTCAAATCTATCAGAACTTAAAATTCAGACTCCCCTAAACATCACCTTAGATAATAGAGAAGTATACGAACTAATATGTAACTTTACATTTAAAGTTGGTTACATTGTCCAACTTAGTCGTACTTAGTCCAACATTGTTTCTAGTGGTAATAAATAATATAATCAAAAATATTCAAGCACCATTACAAGCCTGTTTATACGCTGACGACCTAATGTCCTCAATTCTTCAAAATTTTGAAGATACTCTCAAAAATTGGTACCTTAGTTCCACATTGGTTTTTAATTTTCAATAGAAAAATTAATGGGAGTTGTTCAAGCTCCTTGCCATAACCCCAACCCTGAAAACCTATGAGAAAGAGCTTAGAGTGTTGGAGATCATCACAAATTCATGGGTTTAATCTTTGATTCAAAACTAACATGAAAAGATCACATCTCACAATTCATCCTTTCCTATAATAAAAGATTAGATGTGTTAAGATCTCTTTATAACAAAAACTGGGGCTCAGACGAATCCATTCTACTTCTTCTGTATAAACCTTTATTACGTTCTAAACTAGGTTATGAAGCAATTTCCTATTCCACTGCTAATCAATCTCTTCTTAAATTATTAGATGTTATTCATAATAAACGTCTTATATTAATTAAGGGGGTTTCTCTAACTTCCTCGGTATCCAGCAACTATGCTCTTTTAGGAGAACCACCGCATGTTCCTAGCCTCACATAGGCAGCCTCAGTCGCTTGTAATATTTTAAATCCAATATATCAAAATACTTTTACAGATAAATATGTAAACAAATTACAAGATATTCGCTATACTAAAAAACCATATTACGAAAGAATTACATCCATACTTCAAAAACTAAACACTCATTTTCCGGATGATTTCTGCTCAGACATTATATAGGTACTCTGAGCCTTGGCTGATCGATTTAACAATCTATGATACATCTCTGGCCTATTTCGATTAACGCAGTACAAACAATTCGCTGCTTCGGCTAAAATTAGAAAACAAGGTCAACAGTTCCTTAGCTCTCTAAACGCATTAAAACATATTTTTCCGAAGCATCCTTTTAAAAAGTTACTAAAATACCAGCTGATCCAAGCTCATCAACATGGAAGAGGAGTTCAATTTTTGTGGGTACTTTCACACGTCGGAATAATGGGAAACGAAGAAGCTGACAGCACTGCACGACAGGCAATTTTAAGCGATTATTCGGCCTATAGACAAGTGTATTTCCAGTGACTTAAAAGCTTATTTTAAAAATAAAGTGTTTGTGGCGAAATGAATGGTCTCAAACTAATTCTAAGTTGAATTTACAGACTTAGATTACAGACCATGTTAACACACTCTTATCTTTTCACAAAGAATAACCCACCCATATGTGATCAGTGTAACGGTTAATTAACAGTTAGAACACTTTTTAATAAAATGTGGTAAATATGATCAAAAAAGACATCGTTACAATATCTCGAACTCTCTGCAGAAGCTCTAGGTCAGGAGTGTTCCTATGAAAATATAATTAAATATCTAAGATTTTTAAACATTTTCTATAATCTGCAGTTATTCAATTTTGTTATTTATATTTTGCTCCATCGCCGTCGCTAGTAACCTTTTGGTGGATGCGATTTTTTTTCTACTAAAAAGAATAAGTAAAAAAGTACTAAGATGTCCAAATAATTAAAATGGTAGGAACACGTTCATGTATCAGTCAATGTCGTATACCCGAAGGAATTATTTATATTTACATAATAGTTAATGACCAAATTAAAACAAACAAGTTTCCTACCAAAAATATGTCATCATCCTATCTTATAAAGTATTTCTATGTATTTTATTTTAATTGATGATTAAAATTGCTAACATTTACTGTATATCACTATATATTACACATGAATCAAAATTTGCGATACAGCAAAGATATTTAAAAAATATTGTGATATATAGTCTGATTACATTTTTTAGTTTATGAAAATTGTGAAATCATTTTATATTTATCACCTAACAGGTGCTATTTCTGGTCAAAGAATATTTGAGCTTAAAATCAATGAAAGAATTAAATTTACTTCAAAACAAAGACTAAAACAGCAGCAATTTTATATTAATTATATAGTAGGTGCGCCATCTGTTATAAAAGAGAGAAATATCGAAAATTGTACCAAGAGGTAAACAGCAGTGCGCTTGAATCTAGTTTAGTGATCCGTATATTCTAGTAGATGTCGCCACTAGCGCACTAAATCTAAAAAATAGGAGATAATAATTTAAAAATAACAATAATTGCTATGTACACAGATGTAAAATAGGTAATTTATTAAAAATAAAAAAAATTAAACCAAAATAAATGAAGAAATAAATGGATTAGCATTAAGTATAAACAAAAAATAAATAACAATCCACAATTCCTACATATTTATGTACTGAGAATTTAAAAAATTGTGACAAAACATTTTTCTATGGTAAAACACAGAAATTTATTAAATATTAAACGAATTGACCGGTTAATAAAGTTTATGTTATAATTATAAGTTCTGATATTTGACAATCGCAAATATGAAAAGGTAATCGGTATGATTTCCAAAAACTGAGAACCCACAAAAAGAAGCTGTCAGGCATTCTTTAGATCATTTGGATATAAGTATCTTGGGTAGTAGTTAAACATGACTACTATCACGACATTTACTATAATGTCACAATATCCGTGGAAATTAAATCTCTAAGCACGATAATACAACCGAAGCAGCCAATCAGACAGTAGAGGAACAAAATATATGAAAGGCGCCACTTTCAAAAGTACTATTTCGATATAACGAGAAAACAGGCTTCACTACCAGTGTATCTTACTAATATTTATTTAAAGAGA